CTCCCCATTTTTTTTACACAATTCGCGTGATGTCCTTCTTTCATCTTCTAACCCTTTCCTCTTAACTCATCTTTTTGCATGAATTTTGCACGTGCACCTATCTTATAACTTCTCTATTTTATGCTTTTTCTCAGCTGCTTCCTCTGTGTATTCTTGAAGTAGAAAGCGAAGCGGATCATCTGTGCTTTGGAATGTTTTCCTTTTCCAATGTTTCGTTTTTTTTCTGTCTCTGATTAGTTTTCAGATTTCAGCGGGTACCCTGAACGCCCACGTGGGCCTCTGAGCAAGCTGCTAATGTCACTTAGTTGTCCTACAAACCCAGATATTTGAAGGCAATCGAGCACCTAGCATCTGAACTTTCTGCAGAACGCTTCAGAGCAGCAGTGTTGAATAATCGATTATAGGAGGAAGTTTTAGAGACTGACCATGAGAGGAACGTTCCCTCCCATCTTGCCTAGCTAATTCTCGAGTGCCTACAGTGCTTTAAATGGCTATAGACGGTCCAGGTGATTCTAGGGCTACCGACAAGCCAAATCGCGTAAGAAGCGAGCCATTACGTAGACGGACGTTTGTCGGCGTTTGTGATCTTATCGCAAACTTCTAGTCATATTGCATACGCCTCGCTGCCCGTCGTGAAACGATTTTTATGAGGGTTTTACGGATTTGAGCTCGAAAGACCTGTTCGGAATACAGTTTTCAAGTGATTTGCGGGTTGTCACACTACGGAGTTCAGCATTTGGGAGGTCGTCTCTGCCGTTGCAGCATCAAGATAGCTCGACTTCCAAAATTTCCCCACATTATTCAATGTCAGTACTATGAATTTGCGGAAAATTACCATGAGCTCGTGCTGTCATGGTACCCCACTTTCCTACAGCACACGATGTTGCTGATTTCTCCCGAACAGTTCCTATCAAGCGGTAGATTAAGTAGAAATAGTGCCGCCAGTCTCGGCATATAGCGCGCCTCTATGAAACCGAGAATCAAAGAAAATTCTTTCGAGTCACTCCCCCCCTCCCCAGCGACCAGGCACGACTTTGCCCTGTCATGGTGAAGGTCTAAACATAAACCTACTGTGCTGTCCCATAAGGATGCTGCGATGTATTATAGGCCAATTGCCTGCAGGACATGTTCTGTCATAGGGGAGGATTCCCAGGATATACGATTCCCCTCGAAATTTCCCTCCCATCGGCATGTGTCCTGTCCTTCTACCATCAACCTGAAACCCTTAACCTCCCACCACTTTTCCAAAGTTTGTCTTCCACGGAGGGGAAGGAGTGGTTGAGATATATAGGGTACCTGATATAGAAAAATCGGAGAAAAGTCAACAACAGAAAACATTTTTCCACGGGCCAATACGACTCCCTCCCCTCCTCCTTCCTCAAGCGACCAAATACGACCCGTCTTGCTGAGGACCAACCCAACGCACAATCTGTCCTGTCGCCTACATGAGCGCTTAAAAATTCGTCTAAGTTGGAGATTACTCAACGTTATAAACAGGGAGGGGTTTTGTACTTTGGAGATTGTTGAATGCTGTAAAGGGTAGGGAGGAGCTCTACTTGGCTCGGTAGATTTTTTAGCTGTGGATGTTTCAGATCTTATTGTCAGTCATGCCATATATTCCCGTCCCCTCTTCAAATCAGTAGTGCGACAAACTAACTATTCCAAACAGTTAGTTGATCGGAAACCTGTTTTTTTGCACCCTCCGTTCGACGGACTCTCAGGAGGCATGATTGAGGACAATTTTTCGGGACATGACATGTCAAGTGAGTGCTTGAAAACAAGCAAGAGGCCCAAACACGCGATCAGAAACCGTTTTTTTTTGTTCGGGTAAAGAGCGCGTGGGCTCGCAACAGCGGGGTAGCGGGTCTAACCGGATCCTCTCTTGCTAAATTAGCTCGAATGCCTTGCATTCAAATAGGTATTGTTCCGCTGAGAGGAGGGTGGAGGGGGCATTTTATGTACTTGACAATTACTTTTGTCAGTTCCTGTTAAATTACAAGTTCATCTTGGTGAGACTTGTAAACTCTTATTTGAAGCTCTACCTATTACCTAGCTTCACAGGAATTCAGAGGTCTCTGCATTGACCGATGGGGACCACGAAAT